AACTCGTTTTGAGTAACAAAGAAACCATGGAGGCTTTTCTCAAGTCATTGGGACCAAACTCAAATTCTTGCAACCCAAAGTTGCTCTACAACACGGGTGTCAAACTCAAGGACCGGGAGCTCGATCCAGCCCGCAGGGTGCTTAGATCTGGCCAGCAGGGCTGCCCTGGAAATAGTAAAGGACCAGCCTGCAGTGCCTCTCTGCCAGTGAAAATGCGGCCCTCCAGAGCTCCGTTTTTTCTGGCAGAAGGCTGCAAGAGGCTGTCCCAACTGAAAACGGAGCTTGGGAGCCTGTTTTCTCTGTCAGAGTGCTCAGGCCACGACAGGTGCCTCCGACATGAGTGATGTCAAACTGGCTACGCCCACCCTGGGCCCCCAACACATCCTTGATGCGGCCCTCAGTGAAATTGAGTTTGACACCCCTGCTCTACAAGGTTCTTAGGGGTTCGCTGGCACCTTGATCCTTTGTCATGCTAATACCAAGCAACACGTCTCACTTGGGTTTAGGTGACCATGGTTGTAAGGGGAAAAAATGGGCACAGGAGGTTGAAATCAGAATCAGTAATCAGAATGGAAGACAGCCTGGGAAGGGACCTGGGAGATGTTTTTGAGCCGACTTTCTCGTGGAAGGAGGTGTTCCTGCTACGAAGCAGCGATGGTTTTAATTATGATTCATTTTCCTCTCCCTTTGAAGTCACTCTCCATGTCCCCATTTCCTGACCTGAGCAGACCTCATGGGAAGAATTATATCATAAAGCTTTTCCTTGGAACATAACTTGAAGAGATGATTACTCACTGAAAAATGGGACAGGGGTGTACACCCTTGGACATCTTGCAACAAAGCAAGAACAAGAATGTCACGCTCCACCTACGGGAGATCTCAGAAGCGGATTCCCTTTCATCCAACCGAAGGGGAGCAACTCCTTCCAAGGGCAGGTGAGCTGCGCAACGTCTCCAGGACTTGAGTTGTGCAGTGAGCGAAAGCAATTACAAGGTAGCCTGTGAGATAAACAGAAAAGAGGCGACAACCCGCAGTTCATTCTTTGGGTTTGCTCATTAAATCTTCCTGCAGAACTGAGCAGGTGTACAAGAATGAGCAAACAGGATCAACTCCTAACAGTCTCTATTCTATATTCTCTATTCCACTGTTTCTCAACCTTGGCCACTTTAAGAGGAGTGGACCTCAATTCCCAGAATTTCCCAGCCAGCATGGCTGGCTGGGGAATTCTGGGAGTTGAAGTCCACCCATCTCAAAGTGGCCAAGTTTGAGAAACACTGCTCTATTCTATTTTCTGGGGCGAAGAGGAGGAGGTAGGAAAACGTTGCACAAATATTTTTCTTCTGAAACATTTTGGCTCTGTTCATGCTGAAATTAATGCTGAAAAAGAAATGAAAATAAAAGATTCAAATCGACGGGCGAAGTGTACAGTGATCACCGGAGTTTGCTGGTGATTTAGCACAAGGATGCTACAATTATACAGGTATTCCTCGACTTACAACCATTTGTTTCATTACCAAAGTTACAACTGCATATGATATGATCGTTGTTCACACTTATGACCATTGCAGCATCCCCGTAGTCATATGATCAAAATTTGGATGCTTGTCAACTGGCTCCTGTTTATGATGGCTGCAAAGTCCCAGGGTCCCTTTTGCAACCTTCTGATGTGCAAAGTCCACGGGGAAGTTGGATTCATTGAACAACCATGTTACTAGCTTAACAAGTGCAATGCTTCACTTAGCAACTGCGGCAAGAAAGGTTGTAAAATGGGGCAAAACAGGGATGGGATTCAGCTGGTTCAGACCAGTTTGGGTGAACTGGTAATTCCGGCGATTAGTTGGCCCCACCCACCTGCCCCTGCCCTAGTCTGTCCTTTATTTCCATGTTTTTCAGCCCAGCTGATTCGCATGGCGTAGAGGATCGCTGCGCGCCTAAGCTGTTTCACTCACTGGGACTCAAAATGGGTGGTTTTGAAACTCTGTGCACATGTGCAAAGCACCCACTCGCTGAACCAGTTGTTACACCAATTGAATCCCACTCCTGGGGCAAAATTTACTTAACAACTGTCTTGCTTAGCAACACAAATTTTGGGCTCAGTCGTGGCCATAATTCAAAGACCACCTGTACGTGGTCTTCGGGCATCTTGGGAAAAGCATGGAGCTAGGTCTTCTCTTTCTTTTAGAAATGCGGAAATCAAATCAAACCTTTATTGTCAATGCACAACATGTGTACAACGAAATTGAATGAGCCTCCCTTGGTGCAGCCCCCCCATCCTCCGAAACCCTAAATACATCTCAATAATGCAATAAATGAAAGAAATAGAAATCCCTAAACCCAAATAAGTAGTAACTAACACCATATACCTATATGTATGTAACATTCTACCGTTTCCCCGAAAATATGACTTACCCTGAAAGTTAGTCCTAGCTTGATTTTTACATGTGTGCCCAATATAAGCCCTACCCCCAAAATAAGCCCTAATTATGATCCTGCCTACTCCAGAGTGCACAGGTAAAAATTAAGCTAGGGTGGGGATGTGGGGGTGGAACTGCCCTACTACTTATCTTTGGACAGTTGTAGCCAAACCTTGCACACCCCAACACCTGCCTTGCTGGCCCATTTCTTCTGCAGCTGGCAAGACTTTTCTGAAGGCCTCTGTAGCTGATATCAAAGCTCTGGATCGATCCAGAGTGCTGTTATCAGCTGCAGAGGCCTATAGAAAAGCCTTGCCAGCCACAGAAGAAGAAGTTCCTGAAGGCCTCCGACAGAGAGGAGGCAGGGGGGCAACGTGTGCAAGTGAGGTTAGTCAGTGGATGACATCCCCCGAAAATAAGACCTGGTGTCTTTTTTGGTAACAAAAAAATATATAACACAAGGTCTTATTTTGGGGGAAACACGGTATTATATTACACCGGTATGAATATGTTGCACTTTGCGCTGGCCCTGCAAGTTTATTATATTAAACCTAATTGTGGCGTTATGTTGCATTTAGAAGTCTGACAGCCCATGGATAAAAGCTATTTTTCAGCCTATTCGTTCGGCTGGGCCTGCTTCTATATCTCTTGTCCCGATGGCAGGAGAGTAAAGAGATGCTGACCAGGGTGTGAATCATCCCTGAGGATTTTCCTCACCCTGCTGAGGCAGCGGGTGCTGATGATTTTGTCCAGTGGTGTCTGGAGACAGCCCCTAATTTTTTGTGCTGTGCTCATCACCTTCTGTATGGGGTGTCATGTCTGTCATTCCCATAAGCCACTGCTTACAGGAACAAGAGATCTTTGTAGTAATAACTTCATTGTATGCATGCATTCTGTGCTTCTAACTGTTACCAGGTGGAGTTGGGGACACTGCTACAAATTTAATCAGGCCCACCGGGGTACGTCTCTTGATTCATGGGAATTCATAATCCTACTACAGATGCAATGCATGCACAAACTCACTCTGAAAGCAGCAGGCGGTCACAAAATATACTATTTATTTGGATCTTCAGCGGCTGCAGCCCCAGATCCAGTCATCTGAGAGTTAGTTTCTTGTTCAGTTTCTTCTATTATACTTCTCTGATCCAACAGGAAAAGTATATGGATCATTAACTAGATATCTTCAACTAGATGAAAGTCACTGTTTATCTTGGGAAGAATGTTGCCACTGATACTCTTCAGACTGAAGTAAGATTTCCATCAAAGGAAAGTAAAAGCCTTTCTGATTAATTTCTACTGCTCTTGACTTCCTTGATGTTAATCTTTGGCAAACAGTAGCAAACCAGAATCAAGCTGGAAGGGACCTTGGAGGTCCTCTAGTCCAACCCCCTGCTCAAGCTGGAGATTCTATACCATTTCAGACAAATCGTTGTCCAATTTCTTTAAAACCTCCAGTGATGGAGCACCCATAACAAGCCGATGTGGCGAGCCATTCCATTGGTTAATTGTTCCCACTGTTAGGAAGTTTCTCCTTAACTCCAGGTTGCTTCTCTCCTTGATTAGTTTCCATCCATTGTTTCTTGTCCTGTCCTCCAGTGCTTTGGAGAATAGGTTGACCCCCCTCTTTTTTTGTGGCAGCCTCTTAGATACTGGAACATTGCTACCATGTCACTCCCAGTCCTTCTGTGATGACCCAGGGTGGGATACAAAATAAACACAGTCACAAAAAAAGAGGTGAAGCCCCCTTTTATTCCTTCACTTTGCTTCCGAGCTCCAAATATCCTTGACTGGAGACAAAAAAAAAAAAACTCCCACACAAGCAGTTACAAGAAGGAGGAAATGCTGTTTAAATTATAAAGAGTAAAAAAAGAACACAAACCAGGCAAGATAAGAGCTTGAAGATGTCCACAGATATCGGAACACACACTGGGAAGAACACCAAACTCAGAGAGGAACAATAAACTAGAGATATTTCTACGCTTTGTTTCCAGCACTCGCCCGTAAACATGTCCGTCCTCTTATCCAGTTGTCACAGCTGCAGCCCATGAAAAGGATCAAGGCCCTCTCCTCCCGAGTAGACCACATCTCTCCCTTATCCTCTCCTCCCTGCGTGTCCTAGGGTGGAGAGGGGATGGGCCTGGGTCCTCCTCTGACTGCCCAGCTGGCCTCTGCCTTTCCCACAACCTCCGGAGCCACACTTCCACTCCCTGTCGGTTGTTCCTCCTCTCCCTCAGAATCAGTCTCCACCAGGGTCATGACACCTTCTTTTCTCTAGACCAAGATAACGTCCTTATCACCTCACTCCCTTTCTAATCCAGGGTTTTCCAAACTTGACCACTTTAAGACTTGTGGACTTTAGCTCCTAGAATTTCCCACTTCCGCACGGCTGCTATCCCTATCAAAAGAGGAGCAGAAATCACCACCTCTTGAGATGTTCAGCAACTGACACCCTTGTTCCTACTTTGAAAACTTTCTGGGGAAGAAATGCCCTCAACCACACAATTCCAGATAATGAGGTCAAATTGCTTTGAGCTTATTCTTACATTAAAGGGTTCGTTTGCATAGTTTCTGTTTTTCTTTCTACAGTTTCTACAACTGGGACCGAAACCTCTGCTGCCTGAACTCAAGCCCAAACTACCAGGTGATTGCAGAAAATGCATGTGGCTTACTCTTTAAGAACAAGTCTGACAGGAAGATCATTAATGTGGATCCCAAGGTAATAATGTTGCCTTAGATATATTTTTTTTTAGATCCTTCATATTACTTATCTCCGTGTATCTATGCCTCAGAGACACATATGGTCTTTATCTCTCTAATACGTTTGTCGTTCACCAATGCCAAGAGTCGCTGTGATGAAGTTCATGTATCTTCATATATGCTTCATATATCTTGACGGTAAAATATTCTTAAATTTAACGTATAGAAACCCCTCATTCTCAACTCCATGTGGTCAGCTACCTAGAATCACATGTGCTTGGTAGTTCTGCTTCATCAATAAGTGGGCCCTCTTTCCAATCAGCCTCCAGCCTCCATTTTGTATCTGGTGCCTTTCTCCCGGCTTGGAACTGGACCTGGATATTACTTCCAACACTGGTGAGGCAAATGGGTGCAGCTGCTGGTTTGACTACTTTGTGGCATCCATTGCTCCCACCTGGAGAAAACATACCACTTTCCTCTATTTTACAGTTGGTTTATATGGCCACGCAGCACAGAGTGACCCTTAGGAAACCACTTGGAAATGTTGGATCTGCCAACTTCCTGCCAGTGGCCTGCAAGCTGTGTGTAGCCGCCGGCAAGCCTGTGATTATTTTTATTTTATTTTGCATTCCATCCTCAAGCTTCAGGCAGAGCCTCAAGGTTTGCATCTGGCAACTGATCCCGCTAAGCTTCAGTTGCTCTAGGCAAAGGTTCCAAGTATCTGCTTGACTTGCTTGCCAAACCTCTGTTTATTTCTCTGCCATTTCCTGTAGCTGTCTATTGGCTAACGAACATGGAGGGATTGAGGGAGAGGAAAACTTTGTCCTTGCCCCACTTACAAGAAAGCTTGGACCAGCTAAGAAGGAGAAACACCTGTTGTTCCCTTCTTGAGATCTAAAACCAGGGTTCTTCAAACTTGGTTCGGTGGCTGCAGTGCCTCAGATAGAAAGTCCCTACAGAGAGTGGTGATGACAGCTGAGAAGATCATAGGAAGCTCGCTTCCTGGTATTCATGATGCTGTTTATGAGCGCTATCTGCTTAGAGCTCAAAACATTGTTAGAGACCCTGCACACCCACTTCACAGTCTGTTTCTGTTGCTCCCCTCTGGGAGAACGTTTTGAAGTATTTCTAGCAGGACTACCAGGTTCTGTAACAGCTTTATTCCCTTATGCCATCCATCTGGTAAATTTGCAAGATTCTTTTTTTTTTTTTTTTTTGCCATGTACATGTCTATATCCAAACTAGACTGTGTTGTTTCTCTGTGTCATATAATATAAGTGGGTATATGCATAATTCTGTATTTATTTATTTTGCTATGTTTGTGTAGTGTATATTAGAGGTGGAGGCCCTTTGAGAGCTGTATGCAATGAAATTTCATTTTAATGTATGCTGATTAGCGTACATTCAAAATATGTAAAAATAAAGTTTTTGTGACTTCCACTCCCAAAATTCCCCAGCCAGCCATGCTGGCTGAGGAATTCTGGGAATGGAAATGTGCAGGTCTTAAAGTTGCCGAGCTTGGACACCCCTGATTTAAACAATCATGCAAATAAGATCTCCAAGACAGTAGTAGGAATTCTTGGCCCTGGACATCCTGTCAAATCTCAACTGGACACTGCCCCTGAATGATATCAAACCCAAGTCTACGTATAACCCCAACAAGTTTGTGTTAGACTAATGGAAGTGAATAAAGGCCTTCTTTGGAAAGAGAACTTAATTTATAAACTCAGATACGTGGGCTTAGAATTTAAAACAGAAGCCTAACAGTGAAAACAGATTTAAGTTAAGAGCCGCGGTGGCGCAGTGGTTAGAATGCAGTACTGCAGGCCACTTCTGCTGACTGCTGGCTACCTGTAGTTTGGCAGTTCGATTCTTACCAGGCTCAAGGTTGACTCAGCCTTCCATCTTTCCGAAGTGGGTAAAATGAGGACCCGGATTGTTGGGGGCAATAGGCTGACTCTGTAAAGCACTTAGAAAGGGCTGTAAAAGCACTGAGAAGTGGTATATAAGTGCTATTGCTAAGTTGTTCTTGATTGTGCTTCCAGATGGCTGGTTATCTCACTAGGTAACATCTTCGATACTAGAAGGAAATGAAATTTATAGTAGTTGATCCTGCTGGGGGTTTTCTCCTTCATTGTTCTTTGAGTAGGTTGTTTATAGCCTAATTGTTTGTCTGAGGTGATCGTTCTTATTGTTTACTGCTTGATTTATTGTCTGGTGTTAATCCTTGAATTAAACCCTATGGAATCCCTGCTAATCCTCAAATTTGAATAGAAATCAGGAATATTAGATCCATAACAGATGTTCTAGTAATAAAAGGTCTGGGAGAACGCATCCCCAGGTGCAATTGTTGCCTGCATAACCCTGAAAAACTACAACTGCAGTGAGGTTTTACATAAAAAGCTATTCCTCCAAAGCTGTTTCCCCCTTTCCAAGAGATTTTTAGAAAGAGAAATAGAAGTAGAATTCTTTATTGGCCAAGTATGATTAGACACACAAGTCTGATTAGACACACACTATGTGTAAGCTCTCAGTGTATATTCAAAGTTATAATCATAAGAAGTAATAAGGTAATAAAGAAGATGAAAATGATGGTAATAGGCCTTTTTAGAAAGTTTAACAGTTTTGTGGGAATTAGTTGTTTGGCAGAGTGATGGCATGGGGGAAATATGTATATAATTTAATTTAATTTATACTTTTAATATATAATTTTATTAAACGCTTTAAAAACAACATTTAAAAAGTTAATACAAACTGATATAGAGTAAGGAAGAAAGAAAGAAAAAGAACAAAATCACAAAGATGGATAAAAGGGCAAGAAAAGAAAAGAAAGTGAAAGAAAAAGAAAAAAGAGACAAAGATGAAGCTTCCTATCATCTTTATAGCAAAGAGAGCTAAAAGTGGAAGAAAGGAAAAAAGTGAAAGCCAAATAGAAAAGAAAAGTAGCTTCCTATCCTATTATAGTAGATATAATTATAAATTTACCTTTGACTAAATATGCAGCATGACTGTCTTCTTTGTATCATATATATCCTATCTAATCATCAAAACCATAAATCATAAATTCATTTTTCCTGTTTTATGCAAAAAGTCCATAAAGGTTTTCCAGTGGACCATCAATGTGACTAGTGCCTTTTTTCTAATCAAACAAATTGATTTGACTATCTCAGCAAGTTCTATCATTTTCATCAACCCTTCCTCCTGTAGGTATTGCCAGATCTTTTCATCTTTGTATATACAATAATCTCCTTGCGGTTATCATTTAAAAGAACAAAGTTGCACAAATTTTTTTCCCAACTATTTATTTGTCTACCAATTCCAAAAGGAAGACAAAAGGTCCCAATTGCATATTAACTTTTAAAATCCTCTGAATCCGTATAAGAAGTAGTTCTCGACTTACAACAGTTCATTTAGTGACTCAATGTTGCAATGGTATTGAAAAAAGTGACTTATGACCATTGTTTATACTTTCAATTAATTGCAGCAAGTGAAACAAACAAAATGTTAAAAAGTTATGATATTTATGTAGTTACTTACCCGGCACATCAAAATTATATTAAAGTATTCTAAATATCCCCAAGGCATGTCACAACTTTTGAGCACTCCTAATGTTTGGAAATTGGAAGTTGAAAAAATTGACATGCCCTAAATCATGATCACATGATCAAAATTCAGAAGCTTGGCAAAGGATTTATATTTAGGATGCTTGCCGTGTCCCGGAGTCACATGATCACCTTCTGCGAACTTCTGACAAGCAAAGTCAATGGGGAAGCCAGATTCATTTAACAACCGTGTTACTATCTGAATAATCTCAGTGATTCACTTAACAACTGTGGTACGAAAGGCCGTAAAATGGAGCAAAATTCACTTAGCAACAGAAATTTTGGGCTCAATTAGGGTCGTACTACCTCAATTAGGGTTGAGGACTGCCTGTATGGATTTGAATCTTGTATTTGGGGCCAATTTAGTCTAGTGGTTAAGCACCAAGCTAGAACTGTGAGTTCTAGTCCCATCTTAGCCATAAAAACTGGCCGTGTGACTTGGGGCCAATGACTTTTTCTCATTCACAAGATTGTTGTTATGGGGCAAATAGGAGGAGGAAGGTATGTAGGATACGTTTTCTACGTTATTTGTAAAAATAATAAAGGCAGAATATATATTAAAATCAAATCAGCCTGCCCAAATGTGTGTTCAGAAAAGACACACTCAAAAGTCGTTGTCCCAACCAAAAATATCCCTGTGATACAATGAGATAGAGCTCAGAGTGAATATTTGTTGCTGGAGGCCCCTTTGGTGGACCAGTTTAGTGCCTGAAAGAAAAGCAATGTACCCACCCTCTTGGTAAAACTAGTACTTAGAGAAATTAGCAATTAGAAAATTAGGAAATCCTGGCTTATTCTGCATAATCTTTGGAGAGTAAGATGCTGAAAACTATCGGTGTGTAAATAGTAGTGGGATGTTGCCAGTGTAACAACCGGTTCGGTGATTGTGCGCTGTGCATGCATCGGAACAGCTTTCCGAAAAAACTTACCTGCTATGTTACTACTGGGGAGTAACACAGCTGAGGAGTGGCAATATGTTCTGCTGCGTGAATCAGCTGAAGGGATATAGGTAAGTACAGAGCAGGGGTGGGCTGTCAGGCCCACATGATCACCGGAGCAAAATGGTTTCCCTGGCAGCTGATCGTCGCAGCTAGGGGTTCGCCCGAATCGGTCCGAACCAGGAGAATCCCACCCAGTGGTGGGATTCAAATTTTTTTACTACCAGTTCTGTGAGCGTGGCTTTGTGGGCGTGGCAGGGGAAGGATACTGCAAAATCTCCATTCTTTCCCCACTCCACTAACCTGCTTTCCAGCTCCGTTCTCCTGTGCAGGGCAACAAAAGAAGACCCAGCCAATCATCTGGGACTTAGGAGGCAGAGAATAGATGGAGGCGGGACCAGTCAGAAGTGGTATTTGCCAGTTCTCTGAACTACTCAAAACTTCCGCTACCAGTTCTCCAGAACTGGTCAGAACCGGCT